GTTCGATGACAACTTCATTATTTTTTTTGTTGTATGTTGATGACATGCTCGTTGCAGGCTTAGACATGCAAGAGATTATAAACTTGAAGCAAAAATTGTCGAAGCATTTTGCTATGAAAGATCTGGGCGCTGCAAAGCAGATTCTTAGGATGAGGATCAAGAGAGACACAAAGTTAGGGACTTTGACGTTATCACAGGCTGAGTACATCAACAAAGTACTCTCCAGGTTCAACATGCAAGATGCTAAACCAGTGAGTACACCTTTAGGTGTTCATTTTAGACTCTCCAAAGAACAATCACCAAAGACGGAGGAAGAATGTGCACACATGGTGAATGTGTCGTATGCCTCTGCAATTGGAAGTCTGATGTATGCTATGGTTTGTACCAGACCAAATAATACTCATATAGTGGGAGCTGTTAGCAAGTACATGAATAATCCAGGCAAGGTACACTGGGAAGCAGTCAAATGGATCCTCAGATATCTGTGAGGTACCACAAACAAAGCACTTTGTTTCAAAGGTGGATATACGATACTGACAGGCTATGTAGATGCTGACTTAGCCGGAAATGTTGACATCAGAAGAAGCACTATAGGGTATATCTATACTATAGGAGGAACCGCAGTGAGTTGGGTTTCTCAACTACAGAAGATAGTTGCTCTCTCCACAACTGAAGCAAAATATGTCGCTGTTATAGAAGCCAGCAAGGAGATGGTTTGGCTCCAAAGTTTCTTGGAAGAGTTAGGCAAGAAACAAGAAAACAATGTCTTATATTGTGACAGTCAAAGTGCTATCCATCTAGCAAAGAATCCGTCTTTTCATTCCAAGACGAAGCACATACAATTGCGATATCATTTTATCTGGTCTCTTCTGGAAGATGGAATTTTGAAACTTGAAAAGATCAGAGGAGCTCAAAATTCGGCAGACATGTTGACAAAGACAGTGACTACGGACAAACTGAAGTTGTGTTCAGCTTCAGTTGGCATGCTAGAATAAAAGACCAGAAATACTGCTGCATTGATCGAGGTGTGAAGACAGATTGAAATCAGTCTTCAAGTGGGAGATTGTTGGTCAAAGAAAATGGCAGTAGCCAGCTGCTTGAAAAATGGGGGGCTGCCCAATTTTTTAATTAAATTGTAATAGGGTTAATTACACATTTAGCCACTACACACTTTAGGGTATTTATAAGATTAGTCCTCAAGTTTCAGCTATAAATACCCTACCTCATTTAGCTTCTAAATCATCTCAAAATCTTCTAGTTCTCTCTCAAGTGTGTTTTGTAAACACCTGTAATTTTTCTCTTTAGTAAAAGATCTGCAGCAATCCGGAGACGTAGGCAAAATTGACTGAACTCCGTTATCAATTTCGGGTATTATTTTTCCGCTTTTATTTCGCATTCTCACTAATCTGGTTATAGGAAAATTACTCGTTCTCGTTTATTTCCCAACGGAAGCCAGATCAGTAAAGCTCAAACCCTACTCAGTACTCACTTTGGTAAACTTTTGATATTATCTCATCATCATTTACTTTGGTTGAGTTTTCTTTTTATTATCATTTCTGTTGTTGATGGTCACTTGATCATCATTGTGTTTCCTTTTCTTCATTTGCAGAAGAGATTTGATTTGTTTGGAGGGCTGCAAAGGCACGGTCTTTTGATATGGGTTCCATGAATTCAAACAACTGGCTTTCTTTTCCTCTTTCTCCCACTAATTCTTCTTTGGCAACGCATTTGCACTCCTCTCAGACTCATCATCAGTTCAATCTAGGGTTAGTGAATGATAACATGGAGAATCCCTTCCAAATTCAAGGGCCCATCTTTCTCTTTGTTCTTTGATGTTTTGTTGAATCTAACTTCAGCTGGTTCTGGATATTTTGACAGAATGGAACTTGATAAACACAAGTGAAGTTCCAAAGGTTGCAGATTTTCTGGGAGTTTGGAAATCCGAAACTCGTCGTTAGATCTCACGGCGGCCTTCAGCGAATTTCATCAATCCAATGATTCTGACTATTCGTTTCAACATAACAACATCGTCCAAGTGCCGAACACTACTCTAATACCTATACGGCCTCCTGCTGAGTTCCAAGAAAGTGCTAACAATTTGCAGTCGCTTACCTTATCCATGTGCAGCGGCAAGGGATCAACCAGCGAAACCAGCGCCGAAAACAGTACAAATACCGTCGACGCTCCCCCGAGAAGAACCTTGGACACTTTCGGGCAAAGAACATCCATATACCGTGGCGTAACAAGGTGATCTTTCGGATCATTTTCCGTAATAAATTTGTATTTTGAAAGGGATATAATAAAATAAAAGTTGTTGAAAGTGCAGGCATAGATGGACTGGAAGATATGAAGCTCATCTATGGGATAATAGTTGTAGGAGAGAAGGACAATCAAGGAAAGGAAGACAAGGTAGAGTTTGAACTTCTTCTAGGGTTCCATTTCAAGTGAAAATTTCAATGTTTGCTAACCCATTTCTCCATTTTTATTTTTTTTTCAAGGTTACCTTGATGGCTTTGCTTCATTAACATATCAGTATACTTGGGTGAGTACAGTACTTCTGTATATACTTATTTATATATATATATTATTTCATTAAATAATTTATTAAGTTGAGCAGGTGGATATGATAAAGAAGATAAAGCAGCTAGGGCTTACGATCTTGCTACACTCAAATACTGGGGAACATCCACCACCACTAATTTCCCGGTATATAACATAATTAAGTGAAGCACCGCAGATTAAAGTTAAATCTCCAGTTTTAAACGCTGACTTTCTTCTTGTGCATGCTTTTCTAGATTAGCAATTATGAGAAGGAGCTTGAAGAAATGAAGCACATGACTAGACAGGAATTTGTTGCTTCCATTAGAAGGTACACGCATACACATACATACAACAAGAGATTCATTTTGCAGGTTTTGGAACTAGACAAGAACTATATATATATATATATATATATATATATATATATATATATATATATATATATATATTTAATGTGTTTATAATGTTTTATATACCTGGAAGAGCAGTGGTTTTTCAAGGGGTGCATCCATGTATCGTGGAGTAACGAGGTATATTATTGTCAAAGTGAACAGAGCTCCATGCATGATCTTCTCCACCTCTAACGAACATGAATCTATATACAGGCATCATCAGCACGGCCGATGGCAGGCGAGGATCGGCAGAGTTGCTAGAAACAAAGATCTTTACCTAGGAACTTTCAGTGAGTTCATGATTTTCCCCATCAACAAAATGAACCTAAACCGTGCTTAATCATGATTTGTTACTAAAATACAGATACTGAGGAGGAAGCTGCGGAAGCTTACGACATTGCTGCGATCAAATTCAGAGGACTTAACGCAGTGACGAACTTCGACATGAATCGTTACGATGTAAAAGCCATTCTCGAGAGCAATACATTGCCGATGGGGGGAGGAGCAGCTAAACGGCTAAAGGAAGCTCAAGCACTTTAATCAACGAGGAAACGCGAAGAAATGATCGCTCTCGGTTCGAGTTTCCAATACGGAAACTCAAGCAATAGCAGAATACAAGGTTACCCTCTAATGCAAGTTACATTCGATCATCAACCTCAACCGTTGCAGACATTACAAAACCACGACATGAACTCTCAATACGCCTCTAGTTTTCACCAGAATTACATTCAAACGCAGCTGCAATTGCACCAGCAGCAATCCGCTGGGTCTTATAACTTGCAGCACTCGAGACAAAGTTCACAATTTTACAATAGTTACATCCAAAGCAACCCGGCTTTGCTCCACGGGTTGGTGAACATGAGCTGCTCTTCACCCTCCGTCGTTGACAACAATGGCGGCGGATCAAGTGGGACTTACAGCGGAGGGTATCTGGGTACGGCAGGAAACACGGTGGGAACAACTGAAGAGCTCGGTTTGGTTAAAGTTAATTACGACATGCCTTCTGGGAGCTATGGCGGCTGGTCTGGTGACTCGGTTCAGGGCTCGAATCCCGGTGTTTTCCCGATGTGGAATGACTGAGACTAACAACCCAGTTAAAGTTCGAAGTTTTGGAGACAACTCAAAATCATTGTTTCTGTTTTTGAACTAATAACCGTTTAAATTTTCAATGCAAAAAGGCTTACAAGACTTGGGTTTCCCGTTGATAAAAAAAATGGCCTTGTTTAGTTTTACTATTTAGTTTTCTGTATTTTGGTTGATGTCCTTTACATGTTACTACAAATTCCTCATCCATAGCGTTTTACCTTGGGCAAATGATCCCATATCCTGATATCCAATTTAATTGGATATGTTTATGGGTTCAAGTTGGACCCAAATTTAGTTTTCGGATCCGAAAGTAACAAATATACCAAATATTAAATATTGTCGAGCTTTAGATAATCAAGATTAGAACTTATTGAACAAGTTGGTCAAGCTGCTCATCTTCGTTCTCTTTCGTACTTTTTTAGGTCATCAATTCTTGACTCACTATGAACATTCAAATTCCTTCCTCTAGAGTCTCATTTCCCCTCTCATCTAGAAAGATTGGGATTAGAATATAATTTATTGAGCGGTTTTAATGATAAAGAAATAAGATGAAAACAAACCACGAACAAATTAATTCGATCAAAATTATTGAATCGAATTTACCGGATCTGTATAAACTACAATATAATATATGTCAAATAATCTCAAACTTTATCCAGTTATTCTAACACCTTGACTTACCTAACCAAACTCAAACAAAATAAATTCAACTCTTGGCTTACCACACAGGAGCAAACGCAAATTTTATTTAACCAACATAACATCATTCCAATGCGTTGTTAGAATTAGTTGAGGTGTCATTGTTTCCACCTTCAATTCCTTTTCTTAATTTGGACTTTAACAGCTCATTTCACTCATCAAACAGTTATATTTACACATAATCCGACATGAAATTTAGAAATAAGGAAAAAAAAGTATTAATATATAATATAATCAAAACCACAAACAAGCTTCAAAAACTCTAGCAAGAAAGCCTTTTTTTTACCTTTGTCTTCTTCGCTCTTTCTCTCCCTGAAATGGAGAATGAACCTTCATCTGTACCGCCATTTTCACGGGAGCTAAATTTAGACAACCTTAAAGCCACCAAAGTTCTAGGCAACGGAGCAATGGGCACCGTCTTTCTCGTCCACGACACCGCCACCGATCCTACCGCGCGTTCTCCATTTGCTCTCAAAGTTGTTCAGCGATCCAAACACGACGTCGATCGTCGTGCCCGTTTGGAGATTGCGGTGTTGGAGAAGCTTTCCGCCGCGGACCCTGACTCTCAACACCCATTTCTCCCTCGTCTTTTGGGTCACCTTCAGACCGCCGAGCTTCTCGCTTGGGCCATCCCTTATTGCCCTGGCTCCGACCTCCACATCCTCCGGTACCGTCAAATCGACCGGGTTTTCTCCCCCGTCGTTATCCGGTTTTACCTGGCAGAGATTCTCTGTGCTCTCGAGCATTTGCATTCCCTCGGCATCGTTTATCGTGACCTCAAGCCGGAGAACATTCTCATTCAACAATCGGGTCACGCGATGCTAACGGATTTTGACCTTTCACGTAATTTAAAGAAGAGACAATTGTCGGAATCTTTAACGGAGGAGAAAAAGGAACGGAGTTTGTTTCATCGGTTAAATTTCATAGGATGCATCACCGTCGTACCCGATATCAGAATCGAAAGAGCTTTGAGTAGAGCGAAATCGGCACGAGTCACCCCAGAGAGTCGACGGAAACTGAGTTTCGCAGACGAGGAACGTTCGAACTCCTTCGTGGGCACAGAGGAATACGTGTCGCCGGAAGTATTACGCGGACACGGACACGAATTCGCCGTCGATTGGTGGGCTCTCGGGATTCTATGCTACGAGATGCTCTACGGTACGACGCCGTTTAAAGGAGAAAACCGGAAAGAGACGTTCCGGAAAATCCTGACCAAGGAACCGGATTTCATGGGAGAACGGAACGCTTTGACGGATTTGATCGGGCAGTTATTAAAGAAGGATCCGAAAAAGAGACTCGGATATCACGGAGGCGCGTCGGAAATCAAGGAGCACGCGTTCTTTAAAGGGTTGAACTGGGACCTGTTAACAGCGTTGTTACGACCTCCGTATATTCCGTCGAGAGACGATTGTGACTTGACAGGGAAGGTGACGGAAGAAGAAATAGATATAAGGGAATATTTCGAGAGAATGAAGGCTCCGTCGTCAAAGCAACAGTTACCATTACCGCCACCTTCATCGCAGCTGATACGGATCGTGTCTTTTACGGAGTTCTAACGCCGAAGTGAGATACATTGTAGATAAAACAACGTGGAAATGGCGGAGATTAGTGGAATAAAGCTGGTAGTACCAAAAGAAACATGAAAGAAGACGAAGAAATACAGGAAGAAGAAATTTCATGGATTTCACTCCATGGCTTTAGCAACTACGATTCGGCCCCTTCTGGAAATTTTTAACCCATCTGGGAATTATATTTATACTCTTCTTCCTTTTCGTTAAACTGTAAATTACAAATTATGTAAAGTTATTATTAATCTAAACCAATTTTAAACTCTCATAACATCATGTCATTAGAATAACTACAAAATGAAAATTTTGTCAAAATCTGACAAAATAAAAAACAAGGATTAAGTCTCATACCCATCCCTGGAGTATAAACAAACAAATTTCTTTCAACCACCTGTTATATACGTGTTGTAAAAGATACCAGACTTTCCCTTCTTATGAACATGGATATTGATTTAATTTCTAATCATCTAACGGATAAAATATTCAGTGGAAGTTGAAAAAAAAAATTACAAATTAATTAAATAAAAAATATTACTCTAATTACAGCAGAGTTGCAAGATATAGATTAAAATAGCCCGGTTTAAATTGCAATTCACCTCAAAGATGGATCCCTTCATCTTCCCTGAGACTCCTCAGGCTTCTCCCCAACTCTCTTGTTCATAACCCAAATTAATATCTGCAATAGCTTTGTTGGAGGAAGGATGAGCTGAGAGTTGTTATTTTCAATCAACATTAATGTGATAATTGTGTTTGGATTCAAATTTTATAAATAACACTTACTATTAAGAAAATAGTAATTATAAATTTCCAATGAAAAAATATAAAAGTTTATTCTACTATTTACTTGTCTAATATCTCTAAAATAATTCAGGATAAAGTACACAAATGGTCACTCGATTATACATCATTACTATGTTAAATCCTCTTACTATTAAAAGTTACAAGTGGTCTTCCGACTATAGGATGTTACTTTATTGTATCCTCCGACTATTAAAAGTTACAAAATGGTCATCTGAATATTCATATATTCTAAACTCGTTCTTTTTCGTTAAAAAATTGCCGGTCGTTTGAGATGAGCATCAATATGTTGACTAGAATACGATAAAATCTGATCTTATAATCATTTTAGATGTATTTTGTGGATCGAATCTCTGTTTACAATATGTCGTCGAGCTAGTGTTTGAAACAATATGTTGACGAGTCAGTGCTTGAAAGCAATGGTGGTGTCAATATACATCATTATAATATATATTTTTCACATCTCAGTCAGGATGTTAACGTCCATCTTAAACGGACATCAATTCTTTGACAGAAAATGATGATTTTGAAACGTATGAATAGTCGGTCGATTATTTTGTTACTTTTAATAGTCTGGAAAACTCGACAAAACATAGTCTTATAGTCAGTGGACTCAACAAAACTCCACTCTATAATCGAGAGACCATTTGTATACTTTTCCCCGTAATTAAATGAAGAAAATGGAAGCTACTAATAAATGAAAGGGTAGAAGATATTTTAAAAATTGTTTGGGAAGATGACTTGAGGGTACAAGTAACACGTTGCTTCTACAATGAAAATAAAAATGGAAATATAAACTTAGTAGGTCACTCTTCATTTGATGTTCACATCCTTTTCCAATGATGTCCATTTCTTACCTACAAAATACTGTTGATAATTCAATTAAATGAATAGTTTTCAACAATTTATCCCTTTGTTTTTGGTTCGTCAGAAGATTATAGTTTTGACTCTAAAATTACTTCTCAAACGTGAAAAAGTAAGGGTATGTTTGTTTGGCTGTAATTTGTTTTCTAGAAAATGAATTACTGGAAAATGAATTAATGAAATTTGAATTCAGGAAAATGAATTACATTTCTGGAAAATGTTTTCCGTAAAATGAATTATATTTTTTTTTGAAAAACATCTGGAAAACGTTTTATGATGTTTGGAAGATGTTATTTAAACATTTTTTCACTAGTTGATGAGTTTTTTAAAAATTATTTATTACAAATATTAAATACAATAAATTATATTATTTATCATAAAATTTTAATATTATTATTTTAAAATATTAAAATAATTTATTTATTATTAAATATTATTTTTATAATTTTATTAATAAAAATATTAATATTGGTATATTTTAGTGAAATAAAAATATTATAAATTATATTAATTATTTATTAAAGTAACAGTGTTATATTATATTTTAAAAATATTAATTAGTATATTTTAAATATATTTATTAAAATATTATTAGATTATTATATTAATATTAAATATATAAATAATATTATTCATTATTAAATATATACAAAATTTATTATATATTTATTAAAATAAAAAATATAATATCTTATATTATATTTTTATAATATAATTGATTATTTTATTATAATATTAAAAATATAATATTATATTATTATAAATATTAATAAATATATTTTAAATATTTTAATATTTAATATTTTGATGAAAATGATATTAAAATATTTTATTAATATTAAATTAATAAAATAAAATTATTTTGAGTATTTATTATTTGAAGTGAAAATTTAAAAAATGACTTACAGAAAATCAGAGCGTAAGTAATTTTCCAGAAAACATAAAAGAAATTTCGTTGACCAGGAAAATGAATTACGTTGATCAATTAGTTTTCCTCCATTCAAACACTGGAAAACATTTTCCGAAAAACGAATTACATGAAACAAACACGAGATTTCGGAGAAAACTAATTCCATAATTTATTTTATGGCAAACAAACATACCCTAAAATTTTTAATTCCTAATATTGAGTTAAAAATATTTTTTTAAATATACTTTTTAACATTAATTACTTTTTACTCTAAAAAAGGTATTTATAAACCAAAAAATACTTCGAAAACAATACTAAAAATCGGACCTAAGAACCAATAATCAATTGGTCTAGTGGGATGAGATACTAGGTCTTTTAAGCAAGGTCAGGGGTTCGAATTCTGGCGTTTGCGAATGGAGCAAACTGGGTTGGGAGGGTCGCTCTCGTCTCTGCATTACTCGATCTGTATTAGTCGGTCAATAGATTAGATACCAATGATTAATTAAAAAAAATGGGACCTAAGAGAACCAAGGCTCTTCCATCAAATTAGTAAGTGACCATTTACAAAAGTTAAGGGATAAGGTTTTGAACTTCAATCATCAATTATGCACCTTTAAATTTGCTTTAAGAGTTTTACTTCAGTTAAAAACCTAATACATAGTCAAAACTCATCTTAATTTGCTTCATTACAATACAAACACGTTGAACCACCCAATTTTATGTTATTTGCTTGCTCCAACACTAATCAAAATTAATGGATGATATATATCTTAATTTCGTGTCACCGAATTTATTGAGTTATCTCAATAGTAAAAGAAAATACTGTTGTTCTTAGAGATTTTACGTTCGAACATTAATGCCTGCAAAGTATATGTACATTATTAAAAATTAAGAAAATTTTAAAATAAATACTACATTATAATTAATATTAATAAAAAAATTCGTGTCACCCGCATAAATTTTCACGGATCACAGTTAAAGTTGACAAACAAGTCATTTGAATTAGATAAATTAGTGTGGATCAAATTTGTAAGTCCAATCTTGTAAGGATAAAATAGCAACAAACATCGTGGGTGAAAAACTACAAATGGGATGTAGTAGTTATTAAATGTTTTTAAATTAGATTAAAAATAATAAAAATAAGACATGTGATGGTTGTATGCTCCCTAATCCTTTATTTAGCTTTAGGTTTAAATCTCTTCATGGTCATTTTTTTTTCTAACATTAACTATTATATGACACAAATTAAACCGTCTTAGTGGTTTAGAGATTTATTATCCTTTGAGAACTCAAATTTGAGTATTGTATATGTCAGAGATATGAATGATGATTGTCAAAAAATTAAAGATGTTTATATTGCCTTTATTCACCCTATATTTATCAAAAAAGAAAAACATTAGCTACAGTATAATATATATATATATATATATATATATATATATATAATATGGTACAACACATAACATAATGTTAGAGTGGATTAAAATTAGGATCTTTGGTTTGATTGACATCACGTAAATAATTTTTTAAACAAATTTAAATAGTTAAATGACCTATTAATAAAATTTAAAAATTGATGGTAAAAATGAAATTTATCTATAATTAAGTGGTCATGAGTGTAGTTTACCCTCATTAATTTTTAGTGTGTTATTAATAGGGATGGGCATGGGTCAGGTCGGGTTTTTGGTCTACCCGACCCGACCCGAGAACAAAATATCTTCCACCCGAGACCCGACCTGAACCCGACCCCACATATAACTTAGAAACTCCATCATACCTGAAATAATAAAAAATATTATTTTTATTAAATAAAAACAGTGATTTAATTGAAAAAATTATATATAGAGGGGTATTATTATAATTATTCTTAAATATATAAGATAAAATTATATATATTTTTGGGGTCAAATCAGATCTGATATTTTTACTCTAAACCCGAATCCAACCCGAACATCATATTTAAAAAAAATCTTACTCAAACCCGAAATAAAAAAAACCGACTCGATCAATTCGTGTCCAGGTCCAATGCCCATCCCTAGTTATTAAATAAAATTAGCCTACATGGGCATAGCCTAACTGAAATATCATAAATAACAGCTGAGTAAGTTGAAATAAAAGGTAGACTTTCACTTTAAATAACATATTTCTTTCACCTTGCTTTATGAATTCCCTTTCACTGCAAATACATGTATCCACTCCCTCCCTCTCTGTGTCTCAGTCAACAACATACCCAATTCCAAACCAAACCCCTTGAAAAATGATTCAGTATCCGTGATTCTTTTCTGTCTCTTCTTCCCCTAGTAAATTTCTTTGTTTTCTAAGTGTATAAATCTTTTTTTTTTCTATGTGATGTACTGTGCAAAGACAAAAGGAATTTCTTATCTTTCACGAGATGGTTCTTTTATTTTTCGTTTGATTGTTTGGGTTTTTTGTATAAATACAGGGAATTGAGAGTCACGTGTTGCTTTATCCTTTAAACTATTACATGAAATAGTATTATTCAAGTTTTTGTCTTTGCTCCTTTTTCTACTATTGTCCTTCACTGAATTCTTTTTAGCTTTCTGGGTTT